TGCCTGCTGCATATGGATGCCTCTTTCTTGGTCAGCATCACTTTTCTAGACATTGTGGGCTCACTGATGGGCAGGTGGAGACCTTGGACTTCTGAGTGACCCATTGCTGGTCTTGGCTTTGTGCTGGCAAAGTCCAATACATTTCACTGGACTTATTACCTGCAGATTCGGATGACTGCAAGGTAGAGTCAACTGTCTTTACAACATACATGAAAAAGGGACAGGGCTAAATCCTATTCTCCTCTATTCTAGCTGGACCCTGGAGCAAATGATGCTTTTTACTTTAGTTTTTTTTCATGTGTGAGCTGTTTGCAAGTATTTTAACCTCAGTGAAAATGAAAGGAATGATTTTTGGGTGAATTATTGCTAGAGATAGCTTAGTTTCCACCACAGGTAACTGTACCCTCAGGTTGCAGAGCCACTAGGTAATATCAGGGCTAATTATTAAGCAAAGAGCTTAGGCTGGTACTGAATACTGATAAATATTTTATTCCTCTAACAACAGAATGAAAGTTATTCTTAGGGGATGGAGCTGATTCTGGCTTTTTTGAAAAGGGAAAGGCTACTTTCCACTTCTCTCCACCTCCCACTAAGCAATGTCTGTGCCCAGTCCTGGATTAGGCACTGCAGGGCAGCCCTCCCCTCAGCCTGGGAGCTGAACAGCTGTGCTTGAAAGCCTCATTCAGTTTCTTTTAGGAAGCAGCAGTGCAAAGGCAGTTGATGCTCCTGCAGGCCTCCTGGCTCCCCCATCTCCAAGCAGAACCTGAGGATAGTGGGGCTTGGTGCAAAAGACCTGCTGCAAACTGCAGGGACTCTGAAGGGCCTCTCCTCCCTCTTGTTAAAACAGTGGCTGTGATTCAACAGGGCAAAAAATTAATTTAATGAGCAGGACTGGTGATGGCAAAAACTGTAAATTGTGTTATTTCAGTAGATTTTATTATAAACCCTCCTGTGACCTGCTCAAAACAGCCACAGAATTCAAAACAGAGGTTCCTAGAGCTAAAAGCAAAATAAGCAGAGGATTTTAGTCAAGTGCTGAAACTTGCTTGTGCTTAAATGCCTGGACCCATGGAAATGTTGGTATGCTAATCATATGCTTTATCAGAGAAGTATTACAAAAGAAAAATGTTCTTTCCAATTATATTAATAAGCTGTCCTTTGTAGATGCTGTTCTTTGAAATACGAAGAATACTTTTTCCTGAATGTTACTGGCAACCACAAATCTCTCACAATTGCTGTGGAGAAGTCTTGCCAACATCTTAAAAACAAACAACTGGCTGCCTTCATTCCTAGCAGATGGGTGCTGACCCGTTGCTACCAAGAGCAGAAGTGTAAAACTCCGTAGGTTATTAGTTCCCTCACTTAGTCATGAGCCATTTAACTCAAATATTAACTGCAGAAATTAAAGCAAGTCCTTGGCTTGGAAAGATCAGGGGAAGATACTGCATCGTGTCAGGATGTGTGTGGCTGGGCTGTTTCTTGTTGAAAGGTAGCATATCAATAAAAGACAGGCTTTTGCCAGGGGTGTACCTGAGGATGTGGAGTTAGTGTGGCCTCTAAGACCCCTGGAAAAATGGTTACTGATGGTGTCTGTTTCTTTAACCAGAGAGTAAATTCAAGAAGTAGCTCAGCCCATCCACCCTCCTACTCCTCTGGCACATTCTCCATCATTCAATAGATGCCTTTAATCTGGATACCAGTATGGCTTTTTGGATGGGCTGTGTGTCCTACCCAGTGATCAACCTACACTTCCAGGTGTGCTTGTTTGGGAGCTGGCCCAAGCTCCAGCATTATCAAAGAGAAACCAGAGGAAGAGCCTGCAGTGTTCCATCTCAGGAAGGCAGCTGGTGGAGTGAGGACTGCCTCTGTCAGTGGGTTGCAGGGAAGATTTTGGCTTCAAGAGACAGAAATCACTTCATACGCTCTCCAGTGTTTTCTTGCCTGCTTGGAACAGCCATGTATCTCAAATGACAGGGTAGAGATGCTCTGGCCCATCTGTCCTGATGGCACTCTTAAGCTGTATTGCAGCAGGAACTTTAGGTAGCCTTGGCTCACCTCTGCGGGCCGTTCTCTTTGAGGTGTCACCCTTTTAGCAATGCGTAAAGGTAGAACAGGCTCTTGGCAAGTAGACATGGTTCCAGTAGTTGGAAGAGGCCAAGGAAAAGTATTTCATTTTACAGTGAGGTAGGAGAAGGTCATCATAACAAGTGGAATATTTTCACCTTTCTCTCTGCTGTAATCTTTCAGGCAAAGATAAGTGGCAGAACTCCTACACTCACTCACCAAACGCTGCTGCCCTCATTGATCAAGCTCAGTTTGCAGGGGGAGGCCAGGGGACATGTCCAGCATGGGGCTGATGGCAGCCACAGAACAGCAGCTTGATATGAGAGGAGGGAATGAGCTGAGCCTTGCTTATGAGGAGATCTCCTGTGTGATCTGAACTTCACTGCTCGCTTCTGTCTCTACTTCCCTCTTGCACTCCATTGTCACCCTGGATGACTCCCAGGGTAAGATCCTTCTTACAGGAGGATCAGCAGAACAGAATATGGGTGTTCTAGCCCTAGTGATCCAGAGGACACCTGTGTACTTACTAAAGGTCAATGTACCCACTAAAGGTCAACCCCACCTCTTCAGACTGACCATGGAGGGAACAATCCGTTTCCATGACCTTCCCCAGCAGTGATGGTGCCTTCTCTCCTTCCTCCCCAGGGAGCCCTCTGTGCTCGTGCTGCGTTCCAGACCCCATGGGCCTCTCCTTCCTGCCCACCTACGGCTGCCAAAGCAACCGCACCGCCAGCGTGGCCGCGCTGCGCATGAAGGCGCGCGAGCACTCGGAGGCCGTGCTCCAGTCTGCCAACCTCCTGCCTGCCGCCAGCAGCCCCACTCCTCCTGCCAAACCCGGCCCCGAGGGCAGCCAGGACAAGCAGCCCTCCCCAGCCAAGGAGCACATGGAAGGGGAGAAGAGCGTATGAGACCGGAGTGGTGCTGCCCCTCGGCCCAGGGCAGTGACCCGCCGCCGGCGCTCTGCCATGAACTGCAGTGTGGCCGTGCCCAGTGGGACATCGTGGTGCCACCAGGGACCCGGCACAGCTGAGTGGCCTCTTTGGCTGCCTTTCATGCACCCTTGCTTTTCTTGTGTCGCTGTAGGTTCATTTCCCTGATTTATCAGCACTATCTGTGTTTGGAAATGTTCGTGAAACTGTTTTTATTCCCTCCCCTGCCCCATACATCCCAGGGACACTGAAAGGTCCGGGATCCCGGCTTGCTCCTGCACATCTCGACTTCCCATCCTGCGTGAAATGGATGGCTGGAAGCAGCACGTCACTTCCAGATGTGAGCTTTGGGGCAAGAGATGCACCCAGGCACCAGTTACTCCACTGCACACAACAGAGGGGAAGGAATATCCAGGTATATCCCAATTTGGCCTGCTATTTTCTGAAGGCATTTGACTTTAACCAAACTTATCCCAGGCAATCCAGGTGTAAGAGAAGCAGAAAATAGAATAAAACTCTTCATAAATTTTTTTTCCTTTATTTTTTTCTTTGAAAGTGAAACTTCCCATGGAGTAGATTATTGGGAAATGGCTGAGATCTGTTTACTTGTGACTAAAATCCTTGCACTGGCCTGTGTGTGAACATTAGTGTATTACTCTTGCCATTCTCTGGGTTAGACGTGAAAGACACATGACTTCAGAGTGGAATTCACAGCTTCAAACAGTAATGCTGGTATTTAATGGAGAGTGAATTGTCTCTAGATCTGCACAAAGCTGGGGGTATTTTGACATCACTGTCTTGGAAAAGGAGACTGGAAGACAAAAATGATCCTTCATTGCAAGACTGCAGATATGATTTTCCATGATTTATGTTTAATAAAGAGGAAATAAAGCTTGGAAGGATATTCCTTTATGCCATCCAAATTTAGACTATTCCATTTACTGAAAGTTTGTTGTAACAAATCTAGATATGAAAATATATTAACTATTATAGATTGGAAACAGTGCAAAGGAGAAATTGAGGCCTTAGTAAATTTAGTCTTATCTCCCACCCAAACCTCCCCAGAGCAAATCAGACTAATATCTGAAGGGCAGTCATTTTAATCTGGGGTACCTCATTTTTTTCCATGGGAGCTGCACATGTGGACTTAAACTTAGTGACATTTACTTGAATTTTCCAGGTGCCATTTGGAAATTCCTTAGGTGTGTCTACAGGTGTCCCTGTAGAACAGACTGAAACCACTTTTCTGAGATTTTGATTAAGTAACATGGAAGCTAGTGGAAGGATTCCTGTCACCTCTGATCCTACACACTGTGCAGACCTCCAGAAATGTGCTGGGCACGTGCCTTTACACAGGTTTTGTTTAACTGTTCACAGGATCCAGGTCTGGGGGTGGGCTTGGAAAGATGGTCCTGAGTAAGGCTGGCAGCAAACATTTGTCTCCTCCATGTAAGTGATTTCAGCCCATGAATTTCACAGAACCTGTGACTTCTCTGGGGCTCACAGGACCCTTTCACACCCCCAGTGCACACCTTCCTTTCCCTGAGACACGGTTTGATGTCAGCTGAAAGGCTGGGAGCCCTGGTGTTCGTGGGGTCACTTAGCAGCACCAAGCACCGTCACCGTGGAGCAGCCAAGGGCACCAGGCAGCCCCAGAGCGGCACAAGCCATCAGAGCAGGGCATTGCTGGGTCTGTCCTTTGGTCAGAGAACAAAGAAAAGTCAGACAGGGCCCACATTCATCAAATGGAGTAATTTTGCTTTACTTCTGCCACACAGTGTGACCCTTAATGCAGGGAGAGAAACATGTAGTCTGTGATCTGCTTTTGTGCTCCAGCTTCAGGAGCTGCTCTGCTGAACTGTGGGTGGAGGTGGCTCTGGCTGCAAGTTATGGCTTGCTAGTTTAACAACAGCAACAACCCTTTTCTTCCACCAAAATAAAAGAGATTGCCATGTGCTTTGTTGTGGGGAGTGGTTGGAGGAGAGAGAATGACTGTTTTCTTAGTGATATTCCCAATCATAATTTTTTTTCTTCCTCCTAAAAAAGACTAAAAAAATATTCCTGTCCAAAGAGGCAGGCCCAACTTTGTTTCAACATAATTACCTTGCATTCAGTTGAACTTCAGCCCTTCTGTACACTAACTCTTCAATCTAATTGTTTGATTAAACTCGTATTTCCTCCAGAAAGGTACATAAATAAGTGAATTGTTGAGCAAATTAAGAATACTTAACAGCATTGCATCTGAAAAGTAGTTACGCTGATTAAATTTTCTGTCCTTGAGGATTTTCAGGAAATTACTTTTGATCGTCAATAACACAATTAAGTAAACTACACGCACATTAGCATGAATAATTGATAAGAAATTATGTATTACCACGAAGCACTGATTTAATAATTCATGATGCGACACTCTAGTGACTGTGCAAAACTGGATAACATCGACAAGTCTGATGTTGCTGGAAATGCTGCAAAAACAAACAAGTCCACAGTTTTGTTGTACAATAAAGGAAAGTATCTGATGCATGCTGTAGTTTCTGTTTGTTTAATACTTGAATAAATTTAGAAAGAAGACCCTGAAAAGCTCCTGTACTGTTTTCATTCGGATCAATTCCTCTGTGCTTTCACATTGATGACTGCCCAGTTCTGCTTAGACCAGTGATGTTGGAGAGTGAGGGAGGCTCTCCCATGCACAGCTGGAACCTGCTGAGTGTCTCAGAACTTGCAATATTGGGGGACTCAAAACTTTACAGAGCCTTCTGGTAAGGAGCAAAGCAGCATTAGCTCCCCTTAAGCCTGAGGTCTTCAGTGTCTGATGTGCCTGTGATTATAATTATTCAGTAAGATTTTGTGGGTTACTGCTCTAAGCCAAAAATGAGGCCAATTTGTGTGTTTTGAGTGTACACAATGCCCTGTTAAACCCTAGGCCAATTCTCTTACAATTCTTGCAGTTTCCTGAGGGAAGGCAGATAAATATTCGTGCTCTTGTCAGCATATTGGAGCAACCAGGGCATGGTGAGCCTCTAAGGCTTTGATCTGAGACCTGGCTGCTCAGGGCAGGGCATCCCAAGAGGGCTTGCTCGAATTCACTCAGCAGTAGCACAAGGGCAAAAGCAAAACTCCAGAGATCTGTGTCTCAGTCGTGCTTGTTTCTAGCCACCAGACCCTGCTCCCTTCCAGATGGACTGTCCACTGCAGATGAGCCACACGCCTACTTTCTGTGCTGTCATATATCAGGGCTATGCCACTTAAACCACTCTAATGGCCATTTCAGTAGCTCTGATTAAGTCTGGCATTTAAAAGTTTATAACTCAGCTATAAAAAGTCACTCAGGCTGAACCCCAGCTTGAGAGACCCAAGCCCAAGGGGATGATTTACATGAGAGCTATTCCAAAATTAGTCTGCATGGGTTTTTTTTTTTTTTTGTGAAGGAAAATTGGAGGCCCAAGGTTTAAGGGATGGATGTAAGACAAATATGTTTTGTTTGACATCTCACTGCATTGTCACTGGTTCCTATGCAGTAATTTTCTCTGAGTTTCTGTACTAGCATGAGTCATGCATAGCATGGACATTCAGTGTGCCAGTGTTGATTGCTTAGGTTTGGCAAAACATCTCCAGTCCTGGGATCCTTTCCCAAGAAATCATAGGCACCCACAATGCCCAGGCTCGCCCTCATCCCCCACCTTCCCTGTGTCCTCTTTCATGGCTCTGTGGAAAGCCCATGGTCTTGCCTCCAGCCCTGGTGGAAGCCTGTCCCCTTGTGCCACCTCCCAGCTGCAGTTCCTGCTGCTCCAGGGTTGAGCCTGGCTCTGGGGGGGCTCTGGCAGGGCCATCCAGGAGCTTGGGACGTGTGTGGGGTGCCCACAGCACGTTGGGCTGGGTTTTGTTAATGGGGGTTAGTGCCACACCCTGGGGCTTCTTTATAAGGTTGTGTGCCATTCTCTCAGCTCTCCGTGCTTGGTGCCTCTCACACATCTATTTTAGTCTCCTTGTGCCTATGTACATTATAACAGGAAATGTGGAGCTGTGTTTTCACTTTTGCTCAGTTATGCTTTAGGCTAGTCCTTCGTACACTGCATGCTGGATAGTAATGAGATTGTTGGTCTAATTGGCTCTTTATTAGGAGTATTATTTACAACAACGCTGAAGGCCATGTGCATGCAGATAAAGATCCTGGTTTACCATCAAACTCTTCCCTCATGCAGTTGGTGCCCTCCCCTCTGTTCCCCACAGATTGTTGCCCTTGGTGAATTTGGGATGACCTCTCCACTTCCCAGAGGAGTCCCCCATCCCAGGTCATGGCCAGGGATAAAAGCCTGCTGGCAGGGCTGTGTCTCTGGGAGGTCTGCACTTCTGCTGTGCACACCAGCTTTCTGCTTCCCTGCAGCACAGAGAAGCCAGGGCAGTGTGGGAGGAAGTCATTTGCTGCTGGGTGGACCACAAGGCAACAGGGGATGGAGATGAAATGCTTGTGGTGTGCTGCTGTGGCACATTCTCCCTCTGAAAGAGCTCTGCTCGATAAAGATCCTGTTGTGCTTGGCTGGCGGTGCGGTGGAAGCAGTGTGTGAAGCAGGGGAAGTCAGATGCCCTGAACTGATACCCGAGCCCCAAGCACATAATTCAGACCTCTCCACTGAAGAGTTTGACACCCCTCTCTGAGATCACAGTGCAGCCTGAGGGCGGGGGGGTTGCACCACCACAATGCCATAAATAAAATAGTAATAGAGTACAATAAACAATGCTTTATTCTTTCCAGTTAAAAACTTCCTCTGTAATGTACTAAAATATTGACTTTAGGTGGCCATATTACCACAAAATAAGATCTTTTCCTGATAACTACCAAATAAGATTTTACACAGACCTGGCTTGTGAAAATGTGAATTTCATTGGCCTGTAGGACATCCAGCCTTAGTTGAAGGAGAGGTCTTGACAATATCTTAATAATCCAACTGTAGTGTCCTTATTGTCTGCTCTAAGATGTC